AAAAAAAAAAAAAAAAAAAAAAAAAGGAAATAAGCAGCAGTCAGACATCCATCCAAGGGCCACACTAAATGCACTGAAAGATCCCTCCAGAGGAGATTATCAGAGGATAGATTATAAATTATAATTCATTTAGAAGGAAAAAAAGAAAGTCTAACTAAGAGAAGAACGAGGCGCATTAAAAACAGCCGGACGACAAGAAATTGAAAAACTGATCAAACGATAAGTATAAAAGTCGAACAACTGAACCGCTTCTCACCATAATTAGTGTAATGATTACACAGGGTCAACCAAAGATAGAAGAACAAGCGGCAACGTCAGTTCGTTTTTTTTTTCTTTTTTTTTCCTGATTTCAGGAACAGGAGACCTTCAATCTTTTCGAATATGAGTCACTGAACACTTTTTTCTGTTCTTTTCTTTTTTTTTCCAAAATTTGGACCATTTCTCGATTTATGCGTGTCATCCTTGCGCAGTGGCCACCATGCTAATCTTCTCTCTCTGTATCGTTCCAATTTCAACGGATGTCCCGAAGGACTCACTGAACACATTCTATCCTAAACATATAGCAAATTAATTTATTAAACACAGGACATCCTAACATTGTGCCTTGCCTTTCTATCCTGTTTAGGATAAGTTACATAAACATTCTACGTCAGCGGGCGATGAAGGAATGCCATTCTATCCTGTTTAGGATTAAGTTACATAACATTCTACGTCAGCGGGCGATGAAGGAAGGCTCAGAAGAACAGTAGTCCAACCAGACACAAGAATTGAAATATAGGCTATAGTATATATAATATTGCTATATTGCAAATTAAAAATAAAATGACAAGGCAGGTGGACAATCAGAGAGGTAGCACCAACTCCTAGGAACACTCCTAGGAAGATTCAGCTAATGCCCAGGTAAAAGCCAGGGCTACTACCTACTGTGTTCACCCGAATACCATGTACAGTCATTATAGCTGTATTTGGGCCAACTTCGAGTCTAGATACAGCAATATTTACCGTCCGTTGTATTTGGGTGAACACAATAGTAGTTCCTGGTATCAGTCAACAAAGATCCAGCTAACGTCTCCGAAAGTTCAGTATATAGTCCCCGTCGCGAGCTTATGAAGGGACGCACGGACAGAGAAGGAACAAAGGAAACAGGCCCACTCGCAAGAAAGTAAGGGAACAGACAATGAAGGGTGGCAGGGAAAAAAAAAAAAAAAAAAAAAAAAAAAGAAGGAAACAGGCCCACTTGCAAGAAAGTAAGGGAACAGGCAAGGAGGTATGAGACAACTCTCTCTCCACAAAAAGCACAGAAAAAGACAAGGAGCAAGAAAGTCAGGGGCTCAGGCTGATCAGACAGCTGGCAATAGCTTGAGAGGAACAAGTCAAGGTCACAACCCCACAGTGACTAGAGTGCATAATTCAGGCCAGGCAGAGAGAGGCACCAAGGGTTACCGTCTTCACCGGAATAGAACGCCCGGTCATTACAGCTGCATTTGGACCAACTTTCACTCCAGATGCGGCGATAATGACCGGGCGTTCTATTTGGGGGTGAAGACCGTAGCAAGACTGAGAAGAAAACTACTTTTGTAGGCTAACTTAGGCAAGGGGCAAGGAGAGGTACATCCTTCCTACTGGAAGTAATGATTGCCGCACACTCCAATCTCCCAACCATGATGGGGAGAAGCATTGGGAGTGTGTATATGATGTATTTTTAAATTTTTACTATTTTCATTTGACTTGCCGGTGGAATATGAACCACACTGATGCTCCTTAGAATGAATATGGAGACCGAACCGTAAGGTTACGGTTTGTTTGGTTGTTTTGTTTTCTAACTAGGGACTACCCTTTTTTTATATATATAATATTATATATATAATATTATATATATAATATTATATATATAATATTATATATATAATTTTATAAAATTAATATAAATGATGAAATGAAGAGAAGCTGCTAGGACCAGAAAATGGTCAGCTGGAGGTGTCGGTAGAGTACACATGTTAAAGCCAAAAAARAAAAAAAAAAAAAAAAAGACCAACCGCTGCCGACAGAGAGCAAAAAGAAAAACAAAACTCAAAAAAGAGAAAAGCCTGTGGTGGTCGCCCCATTGTCAATCCAACATACCAACTGAAAACGGACTGGCCTCCTTCTCTGTAGTGTAATCGGGGAGTTCGTGAAAAAGGTAGTGGTGGTTTCAGACTGACACTTCTTGCTTGCCTTTTAAGTTTGAACGCCTTCAAGGTAAAGGACCTTAGAAGTTAGAAGTTAAAAGTTTAAAACTCTTTGGTTAAAAAAGTCAACAAGTATCTCCCGTCAATGTGGGCTCAACTGGTTTCTATTTGCTTCTCTGGCCATCTTGTTCAGGGTCTTCCAAGGAACTTGGGATTGCTTCTCTACTTTGGTTTCTGTTGATACCCCCCAGGTATGCTTCTCTCCCTCCCTCTCTCTCTCTCTCTCTCTCTCTCTCTCTCTCTCTCTCTCTCTCTCTCTCTCTCTCTCTCTCTCTCTTTCTCTCTCTTTCTCTCTCTCTGTCTCTCTCTGTCTCTCTCTGTCTCTCTCTCTCTCTCTCTCTTGATTTTGATTGCGATCTCGCTTGTGTCCCCAAACATATTTAGATTCTTTTGACAAACTCTGGAACATGGGGGCAAAAGATGTTTGCCATTACAAGGGTTTGCAACAGCTAACCTTGTCTGCAAAACTCAGGGATCGATCACTAGACGATTGCAACAAAGAACGATGTGTTTGAAACAAGCAACTGAGCTCGGAGCATCTGCAAGATCTTCAAGTTCTGCAGGAACTTGGACGTTGGCCAACAAGTATTTGGTTTCCAGAACAATTGCTTACTTGCATGCACATGGAGTGAATACGACATTTCAACTAACTATCGGAAGAAAAAGACCACTAGAACCACAACAATATGCGAGAGTCGCGAGACCTTACCCAAATCATGATAGCATAAACAATCAACTAAAGAAGTAAAGATGAGCTGTCACAGAC